GACTCAACAATACGTCTCTCTCTCTGTGGAGTTCAATTACACATTGGTGCCGTCAATTCTTGGCGGCTTATATATACAATACTACCGCATATCTAGTAGCCTCTCGAGACTTCAGGAAAGGGCGTGAACGTTCTAGAACAGTGGTCGGCAACCTTTTTTGATCGCGGGTCAATTATTTTTTTTTTGAAAAATTTAGCATTGTGTAGGGTCAGTGATAATCATATAATTATTAATACCGGTACATGTATTTTAAATGTGCATGTTTATTTACATACAAAAAAATTAATAGTTCGACCAGTTTGATATTTTTCCCTGAAACTGATCTTAAAATTCTCCGTAGCCGTGACTCTTTCCCATCTTTCCTTTAATATCGTTGTTCTTCTCACATAGCCGAGAAACTTGAACTGAACAATGATTGTGCCCTCACGGGTTGCAATGATGAAGCCAACTTTTGGGTGGGTCAGCCAAATTATTGCCGGGTCATAGGTTGCCGACCACTGTTCTAAATCATGCATTCAACAGTGAAGAGTCCAAATTTAATGTTTAAGTTACTAGTCCAGTGAGCAGATAACTTTGCAATTTTACTAATTTTCTTCTAAATTCACTGATCACCATAACTTATGTGTAAACTATGCTACAGTCCTAGGTTTAATTATCAAAACAAGTACATAAAGGAGTTTTTAGCATTTTAATATGCTATAACATAAACTTTTATTTAAGCCTAATAAAAACTGTTTCTGAAGATAACATGAATATTACTTTCACATTTACCCTACTGGATAAATAACAATTATTTTGTTTAACACTTTTATAGCATTAATTTGTTAATTCATCAAAAGAGGAAACAGAAACAAGTATTCAAACAAAGTTGCAATATGATTATGTTGTTAGTAACGAAGAGTAAATATTTAATAACTGTTTCCCACAACTTCAGATAAACAATTAAAAATCAATTTAGCAAACATTGTAATTTAAGAGAATTAGGAAATTTTTGATAGATTATCCTTTATATATTAATAATTTAAACTTCTAATATTGTGAACAACCTAAGAATAGTAGTAAACCAAGCCAAACAATTAGTTACAATATTGTAAAGAAAGCAGTAATGAACAATACCTCCAAAGTCTGGTCTACATTAGTTTAAACCAAGAGGAATGCTTATAGAAGAACTATTAATAGTCTTAGAATGTAGTTCAAATTAAGCAAACAATATTAATGGGATACACCTATGTAAATGCAAAAACCATTAATTTCTTTTTTTTTTATCATAAAGAAAAATTATGAATGCTGGTCATATTAGAAAGGGCCAAATAATTATCTATAAAATTTTGTAACTATAAATAATACCATTCTTCCTTAGCTGCTGCTACATGTTACATGATTTTATAAGTGTAAAAAATAAAATGTACAACGCATGATGATTAGTACACTTGAAATAAAATAAAGTTCTTGTATTTTTGTAATTCCTAGTCATACACACTTCAAATTTCACACAAACGATTTGACTACTATAAAACAAATATAACAAGCAAATGTTTCTCAAATTCCCAATTCATTTGCTATTCAACTCATTATGATAAAGATATGTACCTTTTCTACTTGATTAACTAGATCTCTGGATGGTAGTTCTGTGTATTGTGGAACACAGTGAACTACCATGATGAATCAACCAATACTCTACTACTTTAAAAGCAAAAGTTGTGTTCAGCATAGAAATATTTGTAGATTAAATTATAATGGAAGAAAAAAAATAGAAGCAGGCAGCAAGCCACTTGACTCAATGATATTATAAAACAGATTGGACTGGATTGGGAAGCTTGAATTTGTAAAGTTGTGCAGCCAGCAAAGAACAGTAGCTGTCATCTCTCAAAGCTGGAGAGGACATCACGATTAAATTATAATGGAAGAAAAAAATAGAAGCAGGCAGCAAGCCACTTGACTCATTGATATTATAAAACAGATTGGACTGGATTGGGAAGCTTGAATTTGTAAAGTTGTGCAGCCAGCAAAGAACAAAGAACCGTAGCTGTCATCTCTCAAAGCTGGAGAGGACATCACGATTGATTATAATAATTCAATGTATCATACTTATTTGAACTTTAGTCACATAGGTACACTACAGTTTTATAGCTAACTAATACTAACAACTTACTTGGTTTGCTAATCGAAGCCTGCTGACGGTTCTTCTGTAGTAGCTAAAATCATTCTGTATTGCAGGGTTGGTCATCTGAACAACAGCATTAAAATCAAGTACAGAAATTTAAAATATAACAAAATTTACAATAAAAACATTTTATAATTATTTACATCCTGGTCAATCATGAAACTTTTCCATAATCTGTTCGGTAGTAAAGCTTACAATTAACTACTTCCTCATTTATTTTATGACCAGAAATATATTTTAATGAGAAAAGTATTTCATTGAACTAGAAAATAGGAAAAAAAAATTTTTTTTATTCTAACTTGTTATTAATTTGTAAGTAATAAATGAATATCAAACCAGAAAAGCATAGAAAACTTAAGGGAAGGAATGTTGCTGTAATACATTTTATATTCTTAAATATTATCTTTAAGAGAAGATAATTTGTTTTAAAATTTGAATAAAAAACAATGTAACAAAATGTATAAAATAATCATGCAACAAATTTTACTAGGTTAATGTAGATCTGACAAAATCACATGAAATAAATAAAAACTCATTTTAATAATTATGGTTATTACAAAACCTTTGATTTAAAAACTATTAAAATATAAAAGAATCATCAGTTTTATTTAGGAACTTGGATATGGTACAGGGTGTTGAAAACATTTTGCAGTAGATATTCAATGTGCTTGCTATCACATTCAACCAGCATATCAAGTCTATCCATATATAAAACTAATGCAAGCATCATCTACTCTGGACTATGTTAACTGGTATTCATAATAACCCTACACACTGACACATATTATAATTAATTTCAACAATATGAGATTTGAAAAAGAAAGCCATGAAAGAAATGCTAGATTTTGAGAAAACACACTTAAGAATACATTATACTGTGGTTTTGAAACACCTTGTACCATATCCAAGCTAGAACACACAGTTTTTAAGGAACAATAACTTAAAATATTGTGGTTTCTTTATAATGACACTTTTTTGTACTTTTTACAGTATAGATATCTATCACCATATGTTTTTATTGTACATATTTAAATATCTGTTTTTTGCAATATATTTCAGCTTTTATTTTTTAAATAATAAATAAATAAAAAATGTAAACAGTAAAAAAATTAGATTGTTTTAAGACTATTTTTCAAAGTTTATTAACATTTAATATGTTAAAGATTGGAATAAAACATTTCATTTTACCTACTTTATTGGCAAGAGTTTGTTTAACAAGCAATTAAATTCCCTGTTCACATAATTGTATATTTAGAACCACAATCATACAAATTTTTATGCACATAACCTTTGGCCACTAGACATCTAGAATCTGTACCACAAAAATATTTCTTACGAGCATATGCCATGTCTACAGGATATTAAACATCTACCAGTCAGAAGTTTGTTAGGATATCTTTGGGCTGATTATAACAGCAAAAAATAATAATCTGATCCACACAACAGGGCCAATTTCCTTGTCATATCAAATGTGCATTTCTATACATTTTTGTCTAAAACCATAGTTATATTTTTATCTTGTGAAAGTATCTTCTTTACTTCAATATCCCATATAAAGCCTCTAGTTTTCTGGGGATTCCTGGCCTATTTTTAAATATTATGGGTAATCCCTAAAATGTTTGAAATGTAAAGGAGATTCCTGGAGCATGTGAATGGCAGGATCAATTCAAACAAAGTGTGATGAATATTAACATCTTAATGAAGAAATACCTAATCTTTTGGTTAGTATTAATATTTTAATCTCAAGTCACATTATTTTTTGCAAGTTTATCTCGATTAACATAAAGATTATATACATTCTAAGAATGGGATAATCAAAAACAGTTGTTTTCAATAAAGAGTTTTGTTTAATATTACACCTATATCAACATACATATTTGCAATTGCATTTTTCTTTAAAAAAGTCACATCTGCAACTGATAAAATCAGATTAACATATATATATATATATATATCTGTTCTTAAAATGTACCAGTTAAACCTGATAAGGACTGGTCAAAAAGTTTGGACTCTGATCTCTACCCTATACAATTTATTCTGATGTTAATGCAGTCTACTGAAAATATATTTTACACAATTCCTTAGGCTTACAACCCATATTTATTTAAACACTTACAAATATCTACTTTAAATTAATGAGGTAAATCAAAAGTGTGTAAGACTGAAAACAAAAAAAAGAGAGAGAGTTACAATATTAGTACTCAAAATAAATTAAAACAGCAAGAAATAATGTGATTAGGTGTTTGAACGTCTCTAAGTTTAGCAAACCACAACTCTGGCTGAGCCTTGCTTAGCACTTTGCTGAATACAAGAAATGTGGTGTTTCACATCACACACACACTTATGTTATATTAGTTGTGGGTTTCTATATCACTTGTTTTCAAGCCTTGTGAAAAAAAATATCTTATCTAATAAAACCACATCTAACAACTTGATAAACAATTAAAACAATTAGTTTTATAAACAGGAAAATGTACAGAAAAATATATATTTCATCAGAACTAATACTGTAAAATGTTCAGCTGTCTTCTCTATCTATATAATAATATGCTTGTTTGTGTGTCTGTTATGGAAATGATGTGTGTGCACATGCGTATTTAGATAGTAAGATGCATGTGCATTATCATGACAGAAAACTGAGTATTATTATAATAGACTAGCAGAGACCTGCAAGACTTTTGCACTCAGATTAGTGTCTTTATTGCACCAGTACTTCTTTAAATACAGGATTTCTAGGATAATACAAAATAATTCTAGCCACAAACAACAAAATCTTGTCATTATATAGTTCTGCTGTCAATATGTGCAGTAAGAATTTTACCAAGAAAAAACAGTGTAATCAGGAAAGCTCAACGAACAATTCACTACAACTGCTCTGTGAAGGAATAACAAAAAAGGTGAATGTAAATATTCCTTATTAACCATTTAGTACAAAAACATTAAAAGCTTGAAGTTTTCAAAAAGGTCTGATGTTAGGTCCTAGAATAACATTATCAGTTTATTTATCAATAGTACTAAGTACAGTATAGTTTAGTCCTAACTAAACTAATGTAAATAAAAAATACCCAATACAGTGTTAATTTATCTCTTTATCGTACTTAGGCCTAACATTAGTTAAGGTTTTATAAAGTAAGACCTAAAGACAAGTGGACTTACACATTTCGGTGTCTATTATTACATTTTGTTTGTATTATTCTATAAATCTTGTATTTCAAAAATATTGTTGTAATAAAGATACTAATGTAAGACCAAACATTTTGCAGGTCACTGCTAGTATTGTAATATTGCACATTAAGTATTCAATATTCAAGGTAAGATGAATAACACATTATTATCCTCACTTTAAGATCATCAAATTTCAAAACAAAGTCCAAGATCTCAGCAAATTGCTTGACTAATGCTTGTTGAGTTTCAAGGTGTTGTGTAGGTGTCATTGGTCCTGAGCATAAATCCCAAAGAATCTTTGGCACAACTTCTCCTGAAAAAATGGCATAGAGATCAATCATTGTTACTAGATAAATTACAAAACATGTAGTTATCCAAACAAACTTCCAGATCTATGAAAACTGACACCAATGTAAGAACATATACAATTTCCATATATATTAATAAACTAAATAAACGCTGAGGCTTGTTGCTATTAAATCTAATAGGCAATGACACAGAGATTTTATTACAGCTCAAGCTCAATTTCACATCTGAACATGAAATTGTATTGCAATGTTTATATTTAACTTTGAGTTTCTAGATAGAGCTTCAGACTCTACTAATCTCATACTTCATCGTCTAATTTTAAAACAAAGTCACTTCCTATCCTACTCTCCCCACACGAAAAAAATCATCAACTAAATTTCACAAAACTAGCAGACACAAATTATAATTTTTACTGAATGTAAGAAACGTTACAGTTGAGTATTTAAAATCTAATCATGCATTTAAACTTGCATAATGATTTTAACAAAATGGCTTCACATATCAGAAATACCTGAACATGTTTTCATACAAATATAACATATGTGGTATTCCTTCAGAAAATATTAATTCAATAGAATGATTTTTTAAGCTAAATAGAAAATTCCAGTAAGTTGGATTTGAAAGATAATGATTAAAAGTATTTGGACGTAAATTTTTAAACCTTATTCTTTTCTCCTTGACAATATTTTTAAAAGTTGTGGATCATCTACTAAAATTTTACACAAGCATGCAGAACAATAAACGTGCACATTTAATGACAGTATGATTCTCTTTAAATGCTGGATTTTTCAATGGATACTAGTTCAAATAGTTAACAACTATACTCTCATAGGAAATCATTATTGCCATATTCTGCTCCATGTATGACCTTAAGTTTGGTAATGATCTACTTCAAATTTTAGAACATTTAATGTCATTGAAATCATGCAGTCAAATAACAGCAAACACTAGTAGCTTTTGCTTTCCCCAGAAAAAAAAAGTAATAGGTCAAAAAAGAAATTATACAGATCAAGCTCAATCATCTAACACTAATGAAAAATAAGGATAGAGCATAAAGACAACTCTTCAATATTGTTTTGTACATTTTGTATGTTACACAAAAATATTTAATTTATAATATCATTACTTCACACAGTTTAATTTCTAACCAACACATTAGAAAAATAAATTACATTTAATTATTGCATAATGTTCAAAAAGTAACAAAGCAGTGTTAACACTTGCTTTACCTGAAAATGTATTTCACAAAAATACTTACCCCTCTATACCACAAAGAGTTATTATCTTGCCTGCACTGTCATATAATTTCCTGCATATGCCGAGAACCTTGAACAAAGCTCTCCCCTCCCCTACACATGTCAATGTGTGTTACACCAACCTATGACGTAATCTCATTAGACTATAGCCTTCCACCAAAAGGAAGGTGACACAGGCTCATTCTTGATGACAAAAACTAACTGCATTGGAAGAGATGAGGAAGTGTAGGAAATGGTACAGAGAGAGATGAGTATCTATCTGAAATACATTTTCATGTATAGAAAATGTTAACTTCTGAAATGCTAATCACTTCTTTGCTCCATAAAGTGCTAGAATCCTACAATAAAGAAGGTGGAGAGGTTTATGCAGAAAAATTCTGAAAGCAGCATCAGAAAATGAAAGCCCATGGAGTGTGACATTCATGAGGCAGGGGTAGCATAGTGGGGCAGTACTCATTGGGAGACCACATACATCCCAAGTAGGGAATACTCTTTGCCCAATAGAGGTGGTAGAGCAAAAGATATTGTAATAAGAATATCTTATGAGTGCTAATGTGAGCTAAATGGCAAATTGCTCAGCAGTTCATTAACTCACAAGTGAACATCTAAACATGAGCATATAGTGTGGCTACAGCTACAATTCAGCCAGTTCTATATTGGAGAAATACTTACATGAGATACTCACTACAAAAATCAGGTGCAGGAAGTAGCAACCCAAGACCCAATCGGCTGGACCTAACACTGGGAATGTCTTGGTTCATAATATAGTGGGATGTCCTGTATTACAGAATCAGGTAACACTCCAGCCCTACTTCCCAAACAGGAGGTGTGTTCACTCAGTTTCATACCAGTGGGATTGCACTGCCTAAGGAAGAATCGGGGAAGCAAGAAGAAATAGATGGAAGGAATTTGTAGGGGGAAGAACACTGGAGAGGTGCATGGACTGTTATAAACAAACATAATCATCTCAAATACGGTCTCACACTAAGAGGCGGTAAGCATGAGCTAGGTGTGAGGGCAGGTATACACTTGGTGCTGTCATTTTTTTGCAAGTGCAGAGTAGCATGGAAGATACATATATATATATAGACACCACCTACACAGTCTTGCAGAAACCCCATCTTACCAACTAGCACTAAGGATGGGCTTAATACTTTCAGCACTCCCCCACTTCATGCAGATTTTGGGAAGATGTTCCCTATGAAGCAACACTAGCTACTCTGTGGGTTTCCTTGTCTCCATAATATAGATATACATGTAAAGTTAGAATAAAGTGATTGTGAGACCTGAAAAAGAAAGGAGAAAAATAAACAACTCACCATTAGAGCAACTGTGAAAAGTGGAGAATGATCACTGGAGGGAGACAAAGACAAGGTAGGTGAAACTGTTCTGTGGTGTAAGAAATAAGAAACTAATGTGTCAGGACACATCCATATCCCCACCAGCAAGATATCATACAGGAGACATTGATGGCTAAAGAAATGCCATGAGATGACAAGCATAATGGGAGGAGACGTGAAAAATAAAAAAAGGATGATCACTCACAAAAGAAGAAACTAGACATAAGGGGCATATAACCCAATGAGACAATGTGGGAGGAAATACGTTACTTGAGGAATCTCATGACAAGAGAAAACATGGGCAAGGTCCTTTAAAAGGGGTACTACAAACGAGATAATGAATGGACCATAAAGATCAAAGGAGATGATCTGGGTTGGAATTACCATACAGGGAAGAGAGGATGAATGGAGAAAACATCCAAATGCCCTCCCTAGCCACCCACAGATTGGACAGTAAGGCCATATGAACCTGTCCCTATGGTAAATAGTGTGAAAGGAGACCAAGACAAAAGTGTGAAAGCAAGAAGTAGGAGGTGGAAATGCAGTGATGATAAAATACCCATAGTGGGTATAGGCTTACGTCAGATAGTCAATCTGCCATCAGGGCCTGAGCAATCGAGATGGGAAAGATGGACAACTTAATGTGATGGTTGTGGGACCAGAGCCAGGAAAACAGAAGTCCTAGGAGCAAGTGCCTCTATATTTGGAAGAATCTTGGATCCAAGATCAGATTCGAATCAACCATGTGGTTTACAACGGCGATAATAAGGGGTGTTGCAAAGTAAATCACACTTTTTTTCCCCGAAAGCATAAGAAAGTAAAATAAGATTTTAATTCAATCAAAAAAAGTAATTCCAAGTATCAATATCACTTGATTGGGCCACCATTGTTCTCATGCACGAGTTTCAATTGATTTGCAAAAGATTTCTACAATGCAACAAACATGTCTGTTTTTGTGGCTGTCTCTGTGAGCACATCAGCGAGAACGCAAGTCAAGTTTTCACATTTGTGTCTCTCACATTCAGGCAAAGTTTCCAACATTTCTTCTGTGCATTATTGAATGAAAGCTCCAGCATGTTTGATGAGATTTAAATCTTGAGGCATTAATCAGATTTCTCAAATCTGGTATTGTGAAGTGTTGTTTGGAAGACTTGAATTCTCGGAGCATTAGTTTCTGAGCCATCCCAAAGGCAGCACATGTGACACAAACCCGAGTTCTAGTGAGCACCATGATTCAAATGTTTTTGCAAAAAATGTAGTTTGAAGAGTACATTAAAATGATATTTTCTCATGAGTGATGATATTCGCGGCCCTACCAAGTTCATCATTACTTCGAGGAAAAAGGTGTGATTTATTTTGAAACACCCCTTATCACTGACCCTCATTGTTTCCAGTCACTATAGCATAATTGGATGATTCCTGTGAAGAAGTGTTAGAAACCTCAGGAGATGACAGAAAAATTGGAACATAAATGCATAATACCGTTAATCCACAAAATTGATCTTGTGGTTGTATATTTTTGTAAAATACAGAGAAAACTTTGTTTTGTTTGACTATTCTTGTGTTATTAGTTAGAAAATGATCCAGGTATGGCAATGGCACATAGGCTTTATGATGACTTAGAAGAGAATGGGTTTCATATGTTGCACTGAACAATGGGAACAGACAGCGGGACATGTGTGCCGAAAGTACAAAGCTTATTAAAAGAAATTCAAATTGAAGATAATTCAATGAAAGTTCTTACTTATAAATTTAAAATTTAGTATTGTTCTTTCAAATCATTAAGAAAATTAATAAAAGAAAGACTACTCGATGAATAGTAACCACAAATTAAAACAACAAATGCAAAAAGTCTGGTAAAGCCTAATGAAAAAAATCTGAAGAAAAGCAGTGCCAAGGAAAGAATAAACCTTTTCAATGCTACTGCACATGCGAATTAATGTGTCTGGAGAATATGTCACCCTCCTATTGGTGGAGGGTTATAGTCTAATGATGATTACATCATAGGCTGACACAACACACACATTGACATGTATAGGCAGGAGGAGGTTTGTTCAAGGATTGTATCATGTGAAGGAAATTATACGGCAGTGCGAGTTAGATAATAGCTCTTTGTGGTGCAGATGTGTTGAGTAGCATTTCTTAATTATTCACTGTTATCAAACAACCTTTCACATTTTTTAAGGAGCTGGGAAAAAAGTACTACAAACAGAATTATTAACTCTTTCGGCACGGGCTCGGCCCCTAGGACGAACCTCAAAACCAGTTTGTGCCTGTTATAGTTTTCATGCAATAACTTTTAAATTAGTAAGCTTATGTTAACAAAATTTGGCAGATTATCATTAAACATTACAATGTTTTCATATGCAAAATATCAAATATTTTTTTTTATTAAGTCTTAATCCAACATGCAAAGTAATTTTAATTTTAAGGTTAGAAATACTTTTATGCATCAGAAAATTTTCAATTTCACATGAGAAATCTTTATAATGTCCAGATAGTTATCAAACATTTCTTACAAAAAAACTTTATATTTTATCCATTATTTTCACCAACAAATCTCTGAACAGGTTTGGTAGATTTGACCGATCTTGTAACAACCATAAAAAATTAGGAAATAAATAAAAATTATGCCTCTTTCCTTCTAGAATGACAACAAATTTTAACATGAAA